GCCACTGTACCTATCCACCTAACACAGGATATTGTATTTGTTCATGGGTTTATTGTCTACCTCTCCAAGACTGGAAGCTGTCTGAGGTTTTGCTCATGGCCAAATCCTTACCACAGGGCCTGGGAAATCAATAAATATTTGTTAAATAAGTGCTTCTGATATATGTGCTAAGAGTCCTTGTAGCTGTGATCATCTATAAGGCATGGGTATGCTCCCTGTCCAATCATGCTAGGGATCTGGAGTGTTCTTTAAGAACCAGTCACAGCTAAGAAGCAGTCATTGTAGAAGCCTCCCTCAATATGTCCTGCTCCAGGCCCATCTGGCCAGGGTCTAGGGTCAGCCTGGGTCTGACCTCATTAGACCCCATGGTGAGGGACTCAGTCCTGGGGTACAGGGATGCTTTGTGTGCCCCATTCCTGTGTTAGCAAGTGTCCCCCCTTTTCATTTCTATGTCTGCAGTTTTGAACCAGAAGGTGTTTATATAAAACATCCTGGATTTGGTGACAAATTCACCCTCAGTGAGGAATCCTTAATGAATCTCTCTCCTTCCCTACAGCAGGCAGCGCAGAGAACACTAGCTCTGTCTCTGGTTATTTGAGGCAGCCAAAGATCAAGCAACAAGGGTGAGCTGCTGGTGCCACACTTTTGGGGAAAGGTGCTTTTCAGGCTCTAGAAGTAGATTCAGTATGGAGACCCCAGCACTTCAGACCCACTTTTGATCCTGACTGTTTTGTACAAAGACATTGCTATAGTCTTCAGCTGTAAAATGGAGCAATGATAATCCCATATGAATAAAAGTTCCTGTGGGGTTCAACTAAGGTAAAGGGTGTGAAAGGACTTGGCTCTAAGGGGTCAAAAGGGGGAAAATAAGGAGCTTGGATTCAGGGCAGCAGAAGGTCAGAAATCTAGTATCAGGACTGGTATTAATTTTTCAGTCTTTACCTTCCTTTGTGCCTCAGTTTTTCAGCTATACAATGAGGGGCTTGGACATGAAGGTCCCCAGGGAACTCTGGTTCTTACTGGCAGCTATCCACCACCTCTGGGAAGTTTTCCCAAAGCCTACAGCCCTTACCAATGCCTTTTCCAACACTCACAGAACTTCTTATCTGAGCTTGTATGTCACTATTCACTGCCCGTAGTTTCCCAACGGCTTCCTTGGGCATTGGGCCAAATGCAGGAGCTCAATGAACACAAGTCATATTGAATTAAAAACAATTTCTTCCTCCTTCCTGTTGCGTGGACACTTTTTTTTTTTTTATCCATTCGCATTCCATACACTGGAATCTGAAGGTGCCAGAGGTTGGTGGTGGTGCTGGTGTGTGTGGAGTTGTTTCTGACTCATAGCAACCCTGCATAGGGTTTCTGAGGTATAAATCTTTACAGGAGCAGAAAGCCTCATTTTTCTCCCATGGAACAGCTGGCAGTTTCAAACTGTTGACCTTGAGGTGAGCAGCGTGACTTATAACCACTACACTACCAGAGGTTAAATATAATCAAACTGTCAAACAGACCTCCTTGATGTTCCTCAAATAGGACAAGAATGATTTCTATTTCTCCAAAACCCTGATCATCACTTTCCACAAATCAGTAGAAAAACAAAAACAAAAAACAGTTGCTGTGAAGTCTGACAAACATGGCTACCCCGTGTGTGTCAGAGTTTTCAATGGATGAAATTTTAGAAATATATTTCCAGGCCTTCCTTCCAAGGCACACACCTCTGGGTGGATTTGAACCTCTAACCTTTCTGTTAGCAAGTGAGCATGTTGTTTACACCACCAGGGATTCCCTTTCTGCCATGTTGCTGCCATTATTGTTGTTGTTAAGCGTCATCAATCAGTCCTGACTCATAGCCACCCTTATAGGGTTTCCGAGGAGTGGTTGGTTGTTCTGAACTGCTGATGTTGCAGTTAGCAGTCCATTGCTTATCCTACAGCACCACCCCAGGATCCCCCTACCTACCATGTTGTTGTTGGTATTATGTGCCATCAAGTTAGTTATGACTCATGTCGTTGTTCTTAAGTGCCATAAAGTTGGTACTGACTGAGAGTGATCCTATGCACAACAGAATGAAACCCTGCCCAGTCCTGTGCCAACCTCACAATTGTTGCTCAAATCCATCTTATTGAGGGTCTTCCTCTTTTTGTCCAACCCTCCACTTTACCAAGCATGATGGCCTTCTCTAGGGGCCCTGACTCACATGGGGTAGCCCTGAGTCATAATAGACACTACAGCAACTAATTTTTTTGTTTTGTTTTTTACTGATTTGGACAAAGAGAAATCATTCTGGCCCTATTTGAGGAACATCAAGGAGGCCTGACTCATAGTAACCCCTATATAGGGTTTCCAGGGAGGGCTGGGGGTTTGAACGCTCTGATATTATGTGTAGCAGCCCAGCACTTATCCTATAGCACCATACCAGGACTCCTCTTTAGGGAGCAGAACGCCTCATCTTTCTCCCACAGAGCAGCTGGTGGATTCGAGCCGCTGATCTTGTGATTCACAGTCCAGTACTCATCCTAAAAAGTCATCGCTCTCCCCATTAGCTGCCATTGTTGTTGTTGTTGTTAAACACTGTTGAGCTGGTTCCAACTCTTAGCGACCCTGTAAGGATTCCCAAGGAGTGGCTGGTAGTTTGAACCACCAATTTTGGCAGTTAGCATTCCAGTGCTTATCCTACAGCATCACACGAGGAAACCCTCCCCTATTCCCACCTATCATTGTTGTTAAGTGCTGTTGAGTTCATTCCATCGAGTTGGTTCCAACTCTTAGCAATCCTGTATAGGGTTTCTGAGGAGCAACTAGTGGGTTTGAACCACCAGTATGGTGGGTTTGAACCATGATCTAGAGTGCCTCACCAGAAGTTCCTACCCACCATGTTGTTGTTAAGTGCTGTTGAGTCGGTTCTGATCCATAGCGACCCTGTATAGGGTCTCTGAGGAGCAGCCAGTGAGCTTGAACCATCAACCTTGCTGTTCAAACCAACTTTGCAGTCCAGCACATGAACCCACAGTGCCACACCAGGACTCCATAGTATATGATTATTTGCATGGGTCTGTAAGATCAGCACTAAACTGCTAATCGTAAGGTTGGGGGTTCAAACCCACCATCTGTTCCTCGGAAACACTGTACAGTGTTGCTATGAGTCAGAACCAACTCGACAGCACTTTACAATTTTACATCATTAATTGTTGGTGTCTCCACTTAGATAAAGTTCCATGCTATTTGTTGTTGTTGTCAACTGCCGTCCAGTCAGTTTCGACTCATGGTGACCCTGTAGAGGCTTTCCAAGGAACAGCTGGTGGGTTTGAACTGCTGACTTTGCAGTGACATACCAGAAGTCCTAGCACATGTTGTAGTTCTTGAGTGCCATTGAGTTGATTCCAACTCATAGTGACCGTGTATAGGGTTTCCAAGGAGCAGCTGGTGAATTTGCATTTCAAATTGACCTTGCAGTCCAGTCCATATCCCACAGCACCACACCAGGACTTTCTTTTTTTTCAAGTTTTTATTGTGAATTGGGTGATAGTTTACATGGCAGAACAATGGTTTTGTACTCAACCAATTATATTTTGTTTCATTGCAATGATTACAATCCTCTCCATGCACCACTGGTTAACAGTATTTGCCTCTATTCCCTCTCTTTCTCTCTCTTTTTTTAATATGCACAAAAACACACAGGAATATATAATCATTTGAACAACTAAAGGGCAAATTTTGCAAAACAGCTCCCTGCCGGCCAGTACACAGCCTTTCTCTTTCCATGAGTCTAGAGTCCTCAGCTACTCTATCTCTCCATGCCATCACCTCTGCCTCCATCTCTGGATTCACTGCTTCTCTGGTTAGAATCCCACATTCTGCTCATGCTCTTCCCTCTTCATGGTCCTAGACTGTAAGATTTACTGCTCCCCCCTTTTTGTCAGACAACTTCTACCTTTATAGTTGTGACAAACACAATTAATTAGTCATGATAACAATTATTCACTATTGAATCAAAAGAGTCCTATCCCCATCTCCTATCACCAAATCAGTCTAGACAAGGTGAAAACTATTCAGTGGGGATTCTACCTTCCCCCACTTGCTCTGAAACTAAACTCCCTCTTAAAAACATGTAAGCCAGCCACTTCATGCCTTTATAGAGCCACCTTCTCCCTCCCCTCCAATGTCTAAGTTGCCCATCCCTATCAACCCTGCGTATCGGGGGGAATAAGCTTCATCTTTGATTTGAAGACGCCTTCCCTCTTGGTTGGCATTTTAAGCTGCATCTATAAGATAAGGTCAAGTTCATAAAATTGTAGCAATTTACACTTGCTTCCTGTATCAAATTTCTTTATCTTCCTCTAGTTGAGTTCTAGACATCAAGCCATCCAAGCTAGGTCAAATGGGTACTATCTACAAGTTTGAGAGTTCTTAGAGACGCTTCACTCTCCGCTCTAGCCTCCAGTATGTCCTTGAGCTCAGGAGTTCCCAAGTTTCCTCATATTTTGGGTCAATCAGCCCGTCCTCTTCTCTTTCTCATCTCAAAGCCAACAGGTGTCTAAGGAACATATACACCAGGACCTTTAAAAAAAAAATGTATGGAGAGGCTGATAGCATAGTGGTTACAAATCGGGCTGCGAACCTTAAGGCCAGCAGTTCGAAACTACCAGCCGCTCCACGGGAGAAAGATGAGGCGTTCTGCTCCGGTAAAGATTTACAGCCTCGGAAACCCTGTACAGGGTCGCTATGGGTCGGAACCGACTGGACGGCACTTAATAACGACAACAACATGGAGAGGCAGAATTGTAAATGTGTTTTCTGGACCTACAGGGGGCGCTCAAACCACGCCCCCAACTCTAGGCCCCCACCTTCGCGTCCGGCTGTCGTTTGTGCGTAAACCCTGCGTACTGCCGTTCTTTTTAAACTGCGCCTGCGCTTCGGAGGCCCTATCAGAGCTGCGCATGCGTAGGCACAGTCGGAGGCAACCGGGTTTTGGTAGTTGCGGGCAGGATACGACTGGCACCATGCTGTCACCGGATGCCGAGCGGGTGCTGCGGTACCTGGTCGAGGTGGAGGAGCTCGCTGAGGAGGTGTTATCGAACAAGAGGCAGGTGGGAAGCTCTTTCGCTATTCTGGGGCTCGTGGTTGGGGGAGGCGAATACAGTAGGAAAGTTTGGGATCCGAAATGTCGCTCCGCTCAGGTGCGCAGTATGTTTGACCATCACACTGAGACAACAGACTTAAAGGGCGTTTGTGAGATAACGTAGATCAAAACCTTAGTTAGCGCGTCACTCGCTTATTCGGCGTTTGTTTAGTGAGCACCTACTATATACTGAGCTTTCCCTCTCCATCCCTCGGTTCTCCCTACCGTGACCTCCAGATCAGTACATTGCTTATTCCCGGCGGCTTCCCGGAATCACCTTCTAAAATGATGCGTTTCCCGGGTCTCCTCGGAGAGAAGAGGCACAGAAGAGGCCTGAGAGGCCTCGCGGTTGGGAGGAGGGCCGTCCTGGTCATGGAGGGCCTGTAAGCTAGCATAGGGAGTTTGGGTCTGGTTCGAATTTACATGCCAACGCGCTGAAGGGATTTCATGAAGGAGGGAAGTGAAACAACTAGAATAGAAATAATGAGAACTTTGACACGACGTGAGGACTGTATTCAGTGTCACTGATCATTCTGTATAAGGAGTTCTGCTAGCGTGGTTACGAGTCGGGCTGCTAACCTCAAGGTCAGCAGTTCAAAACTACCAGCTGCTCCGCGGGAGAAAGATGAGGCTTTCTGCTCCCGTAAAGATTTATAGCCTCAGAAACCCTGTACAGGGTCGCTGTGAGTCGGAACCGACTCCACGGCACGTAATCACCACCACCAAAGTTACGCTGTGTCAGGCACTGTGCTAACTCATTTCCTTCTGGCTTGGTAACCTAGGCGATAGGTAACGTTGTCCCCATTTTCCAGGAGGAAACCGGTGAAGGCTCACAGCTAATTCTTATTGTTGTTAAGTTCTGTTGTCAAGTAGGCTCCGACTCATAGCGACCTTATATATGCACAGCAGAAGGACACACTACCCCGTCCGTCTGTCCTGCACCATCCTCACAGTTGTTACACTTGAGCCCATTGTTGCTGCCACTGTGCCAGTCTATCTCATTGTGGGTGGAAGGGTTTCCTCTTTTCCGCTGGCCCTCTACAGAGCATGATGATGTCCTTCTCCAGAGACTGGATCCTCCTGATGACATATCTGAAGTAGGAGATGAAGTCTGGCCATCTTGGCTTCTAAGGAGTATTCTGGCGGTATTTCTTGCAACACAGATTTATTTGTTCTTCTGGCAGTCTGGTATTTTCAAAATTCTCCTCCAACACCACAGCTCAAATGCATCAGTTCTTCTACCATCTTCTTTTATTTATTATCCAACTTTCACATGCATATGAGGCTGTTGAAAATATCATGGCATGGGTCAGGTGCACTGTAGTCAACTGACATCTTTGCTTTTGATCATTTTAAAGAGGTCTTGTGCAGTAGCAAAGCTAGTATTGTTGTTCAGTGCTGTCAAATCGGTTCCAACTCATAGCAACCCTGTATAGGGTCTGAGGAGCAGTTGGTGGGTTTGAACTACTGACTTTGTAGTTAGTAGTTCAGTACTTATCCTACAGCTCCACACCAGGACGACAACAATATTCAAGCTGAAGTGTTTTGGTTCCAGAGCCAACATTGTCCAGCAGTATATTGTATCTCCCTGTCACTGTCCCACCTGTGCTGTTCCAGTCTAGGCTTTACAGTTGAGATAATTAAAATCAGCTGGTCTACAACTTACAGAGTCTTAGGTCTGCTCAGTCACAATGTCTAGGGGAGAGGCTTGGGAATTTGCATCTTTAATGTGCTCCCCAGGTGATTTTGATGTGCCTAATAGTTTTAGAACAACGGCTTTTAGTAAGTCAAAAATTATCCATTTAATCGGCAGACATTTTCTAGCATCTTCTCCTGTGGATGATTCCTGCACAAAACATTGTCTTAAAGGACTTGGAAGTTGAGAGGTAGAAGAAACATATTCCCACAGTCCAGCTTAAGCAGGATGTTGAAAGAAACCAATGAATGATGTCTTGCTTTCTTTCCAGCCCCTGGTCTGTTGGGGCAAAAGTAACAGAGTTCCTGCTGTCACAGTTCTATAGTGCTGCTACAACAGAAATAGCTGTGATCAACAGAAATGTAGTCTCTCATAGTTTAGGAGGATAGAAGCCCAAGTTCAGAGTGCCAGCTCTAGGGGAAGGCTTTCTCTTTCTTTGCTGGTTCTGGGGAAAAGTCCCGGTCTCTTTTCAGCGTCTGTAGGTCCAGCATTCCTTGGAGATCACCATGCATCTTGGCATCCAATCTTTTCCCTGTATCTAGAATTTTCACAGTGCAGGGACCCCTAGTCCAAAGGACAGACTCCACTCCCCACCTCTTTCTTGGTGGTCATAAGCACCCTTTCTCCACTTACCTCTCTCTCTCTCTATCTTATAAGATAGAAGGTGTTGCAGGCCACATCCCTGGGAAACTCCCAAGGTTGTCATGGGATTAAGGGTGTTGCAGCCCACTTTTCTTTTGGTGCTTTCTGCATCATTCAATAATTTGCCCAGAGAATCTTTCAATAACAAAAGTTGAGGCTTGATCTTTTTTCTTCAGCTCCCCCAGTGTGAGAAATGCTGACTGTGTTCTTCCCTTTTGGTTTTCTGACTCCAGATCTTTGCACATTTCGTTGTGATGTTTGACTTTGTCTTCTCAAGCTGACCTTTGAAATTTTCTGTTCAGCTCTTGTACCTCCTCATTTCTTACATTTGCTTTAGCATCTCTACACTGGAGAACAAGTTTCAGTGTTTCTTCTGACATCCATTTTGATCTTTTCCTTCTTTCTTCTGTATGACTTTGCTTTCTTCCTGTGTGATGTTCTTGATGTCACCCTGCAACTCTTCTGGCCTGCGATCTTTAGTGTTTAATGTATCAAATTTGTTCTTCAGATTATCTCTAAATTCAGGTGGGATATATTCAAGGTCATATTTTTGCTCTCCTGGACTTGTTTTCATTTTCTTCAGCTTCAGTCTGAATTTGCATATGAGCAATTGATGGTCTGTTCCACTATCTGCCCCTGGCCTTGTTTTGGCTGATGATGTAGAGCTTTCCCACCATCTCTTTCCACAGTCAATTTGATTACTGTGTATTCCATCTGGTGAGGTTCATGTGTATAGTCATCTCTTATGCTGTCTAAAGAAGGTATTTGAAATGAACAAATCATTAGTTTTGCAGAACTCTATCATACAATTTCCAGCATCATTTCTACCACCAAGGCCATATTTTCCAACTACTTATCCTTCCTTTTTTGTTTCTGACCTTTGCATTCCAATCACCAGTAATGATCAATACATCTTGATTGCATGTTTGATCAATTTCAGATTGAAGAAGTTGGTAGAATTCTTCTATTTCATTCTCACTGGCTTTAATGGTTGGCACATATATTTGAATAATAGTGATATTAACTGATCTTCTCTGTAGGAGAATGGATATTAACTTATCACAGACAGCAATTGTACCTCATGACTGATGCTGATATGTTTTTTTTGACAATGAATGCAACACCATTCCTCTTCAACTTTTCATTCTTATCAACGGAGAAAAGATTGAAGTTGTCAAGGACTTCATTCTTTTTGGATCAACCATCAACACTCATGGAAGCAGCAGTCAAGAAATCAAATGACATATTGCCTTAGGCAAATCTGCTGCACAAGACCTTTTTAAAGTGTTGAAGAGCAAAGATGTCAGTTTGAGGACTAAGGTGCACCTGACACAAGCAATGGTATTTTCAGTAACCTCATATACTTGTGAAAGCTGGACAGTGAATAAGAAGACCATAGAAGAATTGATGCTTTTGAATTATGGTGTTGGAGGAGAATATTGAAAGTGCCATGGGCTGCCAAAAGAACCAAAAGATCTGTGTTGGAAGAAGTGCAGCCAGAGTGCTCCTTGGAGGCCAGGATGGCCAAACTTTGTCTTTCAAACTTTGGACATGTTGTCAGGGACCAGTCACTGGAGAAGGATATCATGTTTGGTAAGGGGGAGGGTCAGAGAAAAAGAGGAAGACCCCCAGCTAGATGGACTGGCAGAGTAGCAGCATCAATGGGCTCAAGCGTGGCAACAATTGTGAGGTTGGCCCAGGACCAAGCGAGCAGTGTTTCGTTCTGTTTTGCATAGGGTCACTATGAGTCGGTACCAACTCTATGGCACCTAACAACAATAAAGCCCACTCTGTTGGTTTATCGCATTAGATCACATTGTGAGGTATTCTCATAGCTGCCACACTGCATCATTACATAACTGCCAAGCCACTGAGAATCATTACCCAGCCAAGTGGGCATATATTTTTGGGGGACACAATTCAATCCATGACATACCCCCGTCCATTTTGTTTATCAGATTGTGGACCTGGACACTAAACGGAATCAGAACCGGGAGGCCCTGAGGGCCCTGCAGAAGGATCTCAGCCTTTCTGGTAAGTGGAGATTGCCTCCCTGTGGTCCTGGAGCCTGTTCTGTTTTCCTTCCAAGGCCCTCACCTTGTCCCTGTTAGAGACCAGGCAGGAGGCCATAGAAGTGTGATTCTCCACCTGGTAGCGAATGAAGACAGCCTGTGGAGTGCAGGAGAACATGTGGCTGGGCCTGGCATAGACTGTGGCTCAGGATTTCAGCCGTTCCCTCAGTGACGGCAGACACAGAGCGAGGTGCTGGGATGTGTAAAAATGATGTGGCCTCTGCCCTTCTGCTCTAGCAGGTGACTAAAACAACATAAAAGGCATGACTGAGAATTCTGAGAAAGCTGAAGAAGAAGTGGATGTAGGTGTTGAGACTGTCCATGAGGGAGGGCATAGGGACTCCTTAGATGGGTTCGAGGGGTTTTGGCTGAGTAATCCAGGAGGGGGTGGGGGGCATGAGATGACCATAATGAGGGACTGTGGGGACTAGAGAAAGAAGTTTTGTGTTTTGTTTAAAGTTGAGTGGAAAGCATAAAACCTCATTTCATCAAAGGAAAAGGTTCTGCAAGGCCCCACATAATCTAGCCTCCTCCCCATGAACTCTCCCACACAATCTCCACTCTTCCTCTCCCCTAATTCACCAACCCAGCCACACTGGTCTCCTCACAGTTCTGATATCCCAAGCACACTACTGCTATTTGCCATTCCTGTTTCCTCTGTGGGACTCACTCTTCCCCTAGGTGTGTACAGGGACACAGCCTCACATTCTTCAGGTCTACCCAAGTGTCACTTCTCAGGCTACCTGGTATACGCGACAAAGCCCTCACCTGCTCTGGCACCCCTGTCCCTCTCGCTCGGCTGTCGTTCTCCCTACAGCACTTATGAGGGTCTGGTGCATCGTGTCTCGCTCCTCCATATCATAAAGCTCCTCCATATCATAAAGTGCAGGAACTTGGCCTTACTCTGAGGGGTTAGCAGCATCTAAAACAATGTCTGTCAAATCGAAGGTGTTGAGAAAATACTTGATGAAGTATTTTCTTCATCAAGAAATGACCCTTTGTCGTTTCAGAAGATGTGATGGTTTGCTTCGGGAATATGTTTATCAAAATGCCTCACCCTCAGACGAAGGAAATGATCGAAAAAGGTAAGGCATCCAGGGCTTTCATCAGGGGCACACCTGCCTCCCAGCTCCTCAGCTGTCGCCTGGAACTAAAGAGACAGGCTCTGGGCAGCTTGGTGAGAGGCAGCTGGGTTACAGGGTCAGACAGGTAAGGCTTTCAGACCTGCTCTGCCGCTGGCTGTAAGTTAGCGCTTCGTTCCTAGATGGAGGTACGTTTCCATAGCTGTGCTGTGAGGTGGAGATAAACCAGTATTCGTGGGTGCCCTCACATAAGAAGTCACAGGGAGCAGCTTTTTATATCATTGAAAAGACTTTGAGCCTTTTCTTAAACTGAACCCACTGCCACTGAGACAATTCCAATTTATAGCGACCCACTAGGACAGAGTAGTGTTGTCCTTAGGCTTTTTGAGACTAAGTCTTTACAGGAGCAGACAGCCTCAACTGCCCGGGGAAGTGACTGAGGTTGAGCCGCTGACCTTTCAGTTGGCAGCCTGGCCCATTAACTATCACTCCACTAGAGCTCCTCTTTCCACTCTGAATTAAGGCTAAATAAGAACATATGTTCCTGTTCCAATTTACCTACAGATTGGAGTTACAGACGAATTTAGGAATGGAGCTAATTTGTAATATGAGAACTGCATGTACTCAGTCTCCACAACTGCAGTCCCAGAAGCTCTTGGGAGAAGCATTATATAAAGGCAAAAGGTTGGGCTGTAAATGGGTCTTTGGCTGGGAAAAAGGGCAAATTATGCATGCTTTCCCCTCCCCCTCCTTGAAAACATGTATCAAGAGGACCAGCATGTTGCTCAGTCCAAGATGATAAGGTATCTCTATACTTTGAAATTAAAATTCTAGCAGAGAATCTAGTCCAGCGGCGAGGTTTTAGCTGTTCTGTTTGAAGGCTTATTCTGACGTTGTGCTTATAAAATTAAGAGTTGTCATTGCACTTGGATGGTGGATTAGAGGCGGTTTGGGCTGAGCTTCCAAAAGGGTTGCTTGGCAGGTTTCAGGATCTGGTCTTTGGCTCTGTTTGTCCTGTCACCATACCCAGGGGAGTTCTAGGGATAAACAAGCACATGGGAGACTCAGATTACTCATTTACATGAGAAATAAAACCATTTCCCTGGTCTGAAGGCTTAGCTGGTCAGGGCTTCTCCCTATTAGAAACGATGAAGACCCCTCATGGGCTGGTGGAAGGTCAGCGGGCAGAGTTGGTGGGTGATCTTGGTTGATGGCCTCATCAGTCTTTCAAGGCTCTCTCAATCATTGTGCCTCCCTCCTAATGCAGTCTTCAGGCTTGGTCCATCACGTTCACGATACCATTCCTCCCACTGTGCTTAGTGAGATTAAGCTTGAGAATTAGACTCGAATAAGGTCACATGCTACCATAGTCATGCTTTATACAAACCCATCATCTTGATGGAACTTCAGCCACCTTTTCTTTTTTTCTTTTTTTTTTAACTTTTTGTTGTGAATTGAGTGAAGGTTTACAGAGCAGATTATAATAAATTATACACTTTACTTCATTTCAATGTAATAGCATTTATCCCACTTCATTCCTCCTCCTCTCCCCACCCTTCTGAATTTTGTCATTAAGTAAGTGTTGCCCTTTTGATTTCAAATGGTGTGCATGCCTCACTAGACTGTTTGTCCCCTATGTATATTTATCTACTGCTTGACTGAAAGGAGCTCTGGTAGCATAGTGGTAACGAATCAGGCTACTAACCTCAGGGTCAGCAGTTTGAAACTACCAGCTGTTACACAGAAGAGAGATGAGGCTTGCTGCTCTTGTAAAGATTTACAGCCTGTATAGAGTCACTATGAGTCGGAACCGACTCCACGGTACATAACCACCACCACCACTGCTTGGCTAAAGATTGAGCCACAAGGGTGAATTCAGTTTACACATGAAGGGTGACCAAGAGCCGTAGTTTTGGGGTTCTGCCAGTCTCTCTCTGACCAGTAAGTTTGGTCTTTTGTATGATTTTGAGTTTTGTTCCACATTTTCCTTCACCCTGTTCAGGACCTTCTTATGTGATCCCTTCCAGAGTAGTTGTGCTCACCATTTCTTAGGGCGGCTCAGGTATATAGATGCTTGGTTTCATTAAATGTGAATTCCTGTATGTCCAGTCTGGGAGGGTGATGAGAAGTCCTGATGTTGCCCTCCCCATCCACTGATCACCCCAAGGGATTCTGCATCATGAAAAAAGGCCAGTGAGCTGGGAGTCTGGAGACTGGTGTGCCCAGCCCTGTCTTGAACTCAGAGTGGCCTTGACCACCACATCCCTTTTCTAGCTTGATTTCCTTCCTCACTTGGTCTCTGAGCTCTCCGGGTGCCCCAAATGCTAAGAAGACTTGCTCTCAGGGGTGACAGAGACCTTTGGGTCAGTCTTCGTAGTGTGACCTCATCCTTGGTTTTTCTGCCTCCTCTCTCCAGATCAGGCTCATCTGGATAGTGAAATAGAGAAACTCCGGAATCAACTTAAACTGAAGGTCAACCGCCTCTTTGAGGCTCAAGGTATTGCCCTGGGGTGAGAAGGGAGGAGGCTGGAAAGTAGAAGGGGCAAAGAACCATCAACATGAACTTTGAAGGGCCAGGGCGCAAGTCCCTCAGAGCTGGGCAGTGGCCTGAGCAACACAGAGTGGCACCAAAGTTGTGGCCAGTGGTTGTCTAAAGGCGCCTAGAGATGACAATGGATAAGGAGGTTTGTGGGGTCTGATTCCTGCTGTGACTTCTTTTCCAGGCACCAGAAACGGTCCTGGTGATCTCATAGGGCACACCAGGACATAGTATGGGACCAGGACAGCTAGAGGCAGAAGTCAGGGCTGGAGGATTTCTGATTAAACCTCCAGATTGGTCACCGATCTGGCAAAAATTCTAGAGCTCTCTGGACAACCAAGTCATGACTTTACAGGCTCTTGGGGACTCAGGAGTAGGTGCTGGGACACATCATCCAGTCTGAGGCTCATCTGGTCAGACCTGAAGGCCGCATGCTTGGCAACAGTTGTGCTATGTAAGCCCCTTCCCTGGGCTTGGCTCTAGACATGGAAGGCCTAACTTGCTGATGGATTGTCTTCTCTCCCAGGCAAACCGGAGCTGAAGGGTTTCAACCTGAACCCCCTCAACCAAGACGAGCTTAAAGCTGTCAAAGTCATCTTAAAAGGATAAAGCTCAACTACCAAGGTGGGGGACCTAAGACAAGCATCCCCCTTTGCTGTCAGGGAGGTCCAGGGAGTCTGCAGCTTTGAAATCTGTAAGGACAGGGTCTTCCCTGTGAAGGGGCAGGTGCACAGACCCTCGCCACCGAGCTGTTCTGGAGAGGCAAGTGGGAGCCTCAGCCTTGCCAGTGTCTGCTGGGTCTGGGCACTGGGCTGGATGGACACAAGACCCTTTGACAGGCCCTGGCAGCCACCCGTGGGTCGGGTGGAGGTGTAAGAATGACTGCAACAGGCACTTCTCAACAATGGCTTGCTGTTAACAGGAAGGGACTTCGGGAAGGGTGGGGGGAAGAACAAGAGTGGGTTCCAGCATTCCTCTCAGAGCAGCATGTGCGATGGAATCAAACAGGATCTCGGGAGCTTCTGAGTGAAGGACAGAGATCTTGGTGCTTCCTGGCCGTTGGTGGGGCAACCCACATTTCCTGCTTGCTGCCTCCTGTTTGCCCTGTTGGCTCTGCTGATTCACAGGATGGAGCAGAGTCCTGCACCAGGAATGGATGAGTGGGGCTGCCTCTGCCCTGCTGCACGTGGATGCCAACAAGCCCTCCACCTCTGAGGGACAAAGCTCCCTTCTGCGGTTAGACACTCACGTGTATGGCCTCTGAGGGCACCCTGTGGCTCTCATGTTCACAGAGGGCTCAATAAATACTTGCTGACAGGACAAACAGCAGACTTTGGTCTCTCATTTGGTCCTCCTTTGAGGGCTCACCAGTGCTTTTACAAGCCACTTACGAAGTCACACACTGATGTATGGGGGGTGGGCGGGGAGAGACAGGCAGGTCACAGCAGGGTGAAGTGGACAGAATCCATGAGACCACCTGGTGATAGGGAAGGTAGCAGAACGGAGATGGGAGAACGGAGATGGCCTACCGAACATGTCCCCACCCTGTGCACGCTGCTATGGCCAGATCCAGGAGGAACTAGGAATTTAGTTCTTTATAGAGTAAATCTGTCTTTTAAATATTGCCTGCTAATGCAGAAAATTTTTAAAACTTGGGTGCAGGCCAAACACAATACCTTCCATAAGCTAGATGCAGCCTGGACCTAGAGTAAGACACCCTCTGAGTTTGTTTTTCCTAAGGAAGTATTTGTTTCCCCACGATAGCTGTATAAAGCAGGGAGGTGGGATGGGAATGAGTTAAAGGAATCAACAGCTCTGGACAGTGGAATGCTATGCAGCTATAATCAAGAATAAAGAGGCTCTTTGAGCACAGATCTGGAAACAAGCTCAAGATAACAGAAAATGCAGTGGGCAGAATGGGTGCTTAAAAACCATCAGTTGCTACAATTTGATGAACTTGACCTACACCTATGGATGCAGTAGCTCAAAAGAGGGAACAAATCTTTACAGCAAGGATCATTCCCACCCCCTCCATACACAGAGTAGACAGGGATGGACAACTTGGACATTGGCTACCCAAAATGGGAGGCTACAAAGGCAAGAAGTGACTGGCTTACAATCTTTCAAGAGGGAACCTAGATTCAGAGGGCCTGGAGGAAGATAGAATCTCTACTGAGTAGTATCGAAACTGTCTAGGCGGGGCTGATGAAAGGAAATGTGGATAGGTCTCTTGTGATACAACAATGAATAACTGTTATTAGGACTGACTGTGAGGGTTGGAAATGTAAAGGTAGATGTTTTGTAGCAAGGAGGGGAGTGATTAACTTTGCAGTCTAGGAGCGAAGGTCCCTGGGACCATGAAGGGAGAAGAGCGGCGAGCGGGACCCTACCCAGAGACGCAGTGATGCCTGAGATGGAGGCAGAGACGATGACATGGAGAGATGGAGCAGTTGGGGACTTTAGACCCAGAGAGGGAGGGGCTGTGTGCTGATGACCAGGGGGGGCCAGGCTTGTATGATATACCCTTTGGCTGGTTGATGATGCATGGAGGGGATTGTAACCATGGCAATGAAATAATATACGATAGGATGAATGTAAAATTAATGTTCTCCCATGGTAAACTATCACATAATTCACAATAAAGCATTAAAAAAAAAAAAAAAAGCTATCAGTTGTGTACAAATGCTAAATGACTCCCTTGGCAGAAACATAGCAGATACTTGTCACTGGACTTGTAAATTTAGAATCTTAAACTGAATATATTACACATTTGAAAATAGAAAGTAGGGAGTTGTGGAATTGAGTTTGGTAGACAATGTCTGATGTGACTGCCCAGCTTACAACTTCTCTACCTCTGACTACTGCCCAGCCTGTCTGATGAGATGCTAAGCTGAAGAAGTACCCATTAGATCCTTTTCCTGGAAACTTGGAATGTGTAGTCCATGCCAGGGGCTGCCGGGACTATTCCTTAGTCACAGGCATGGAGGGAAAGCCCCACGCACCTTCTAAAAAACCCTTCTATAAAACCTTCCATTTGGGCTAAACCAGGAAGTTAAAGCCTGCATTTTGCAGCTAAAAGAATTGCCCTAAGCAGGGAGAGGTATAGAGAACCGCTTAGGGTCCCTAGGCCCCCTGTAGGTCTCTAGGCATCTCTGCCTTCTTGGCCTGAGAAATGGGGCTGCTCTGGCCCACTGGTTTTCAGATGGTGAGTGAGGAGGGAGCCCTCCTCCCCTAGGTTTCCCTGATATGGCCAGTCTGGGTCCTGTAAGGAAGACGGTATGCTTAGGACTCAGCTCTTCCCCGGACTCCCAGTAAAGGTGTGATCTAATTGCTTGCCTGGCAAACACAACTTAGCCTCTACGTCCTTGTTTCGGAAGGAACTTTTCAGCACTGACCTTCTGAGAAATAACCAAGTAACCCCTGAGCAAGGCCTGGTGCCCAAGACTTGTGCTCATTTATTAGATGTGATCTCTCTGGAGGAGCAGGACTTGCTTCATTTGTCCCCTCAGCCCGAGTGTCAAGGTTAAAGCCTAGCCAGCCCCAGGGATTGGTTGGCTCCTGGTGCAAAGATGCCTGGGGAGAGGAGAGTAGGGAAAGGAGGCATCCTAGGGCCCAGTCCAAATGGCTAGAGCAGCTGCTGAGCCAGCAAAGTTGCTGCCAGGTGGAGGGCGAGAGGCAGATGGCATGCAGTGCGGCTGTGCTGGGCTTGGGAGTGAGGAGAAGACTGGTGTGGCGCCTCCCCAGGCTCCCTTTTCTCGAAGCCGCTGGGGATTAGCTGGAAGCTTTCTTCTGGCTTTGCAAGGAGCGGAATAGCTGCCTCAGCTGCTTTTTCCGATCATTGATGCAACCTGGAAGGGAGGCTGGCGTTAACAGGATCAGCTGTTCTTGATGGGAGCATGTAAGGGAGCTTGTGGCCTGAGTTCCCACTACCTGGTGCAGAGGGGACAGCAGGGGGACCACGGGAGGAGGGGGGAGAAGGGAGAGCTGTCGGTCGGTCTATATCCATGGCCCTCGAGCAGGTTATTTACCTCTTGGAGCATCAGTTTCCTCATCTGTAAAACAGGAGTCTGAGGCCTGCCTTAGGAGGGACTGTGAGGACTCCAATAGCTCCAGTTGAGGGCTTTTACAATGCCTGGTGCCTGATGTTAAGTGCCACTGAGTCCGTTCCAACTTATATCCACCCTGTATAGGGTTTCCAATGCTGTTTAAGTATCTGAGAGAGCAGAAAGTCTCATTTTTCTGTCTCAGAGCAGCTGGTAGGCTCAAACCCCGTATTGTATGGAAGCACTGGTACATAACATGCTCAGTAAATATAGCCTTCTTCCCTATGTGTCAGGCACAAGCTACTAAGATAAGATGGCTCAGCCAGACCTTCTCACAAGTGACCCATGGTCTCATGGAAGCATGACAGGCAGTCCATGTTGAGCGGCCTGGCACAAGCTACCAAGACACCTCCCAGAATGTCCACATGTTTGCTTCTTCATTTCTTCCTCTTAGAGCTAATCCTCGAGGCAACTCCATGGGCCAGGTTCTACGGCACACTGGGGCACTCGGGATTGCTGGTTGAATGAATGGATCCTATGCCCACAAGTACCAACTGGAGATGCCAATACTTGTTAGCATATCAAAATAAGCTAGGCTCATACCTGCTTCCTAGGCATGCACTCACCACCCAAGAGCCATCTTGCAACTATGAGGCAGCAACTGTGAGCACCAAGGTGATGGGCTAAGTGTGGAGGAGCAGAAAGAGCAAGAAGTGTGTCCCTGGAGGCATCACACAGCCACTGCACCAGCCCTGTGCCACCCAAACCAAGACAAATAATCCTAATTCAAGCCAAATAACCAGTCTCTAAAAAAGATTTCAAATTCCTTTGAATCGAAAAAGGAAAAATGTGCCATACAAAGTTTAAAAAGCAAACGACAAACTCAGGAAAATGTTTACAGTAAGTTTGACAAAGGGGTAATGATACCCTTAACATCCTACTCTCCAAAGCCTTTGTAAATTCAGAAAAAAATTGTGTAAACAACCCACACAAAGAAATGGTTAAAGAGGATGGATGGCTTACAAAAAAAAGAAATGCAAATTTAAAAAACCTAGAAACTTATCAACAATCAAAGTAACACACATCAAATAAGCTGGCAAAGTTTTGTTTTTTAATTCAAAGCTGGTAAGTTAATGTAATCCTCCTGGAAAGCAACTTGGCTCTAATGAGTCCATCCCTTTAACTCATTAATTTTATAT